ATAAAATCACAAATATATATAAAATATAAAAATTGGTATTTTGATACCCACCATTGAGAAATCCGTCCGTTTGTCCGGCTGTTTGTCAGCATCTGAAACCAACGTGTATTTCGGGGTAATAATGTTTACTCTCAATTTCTTTTCTAAAAGCCGTATAAGGCATATTTTTCTGATTTCAATTTTTTTTCTCGACATTAATCTTTATTTTCTAATTTATGAATCTTCTGTCGAGAGTCTATTTAATTTGTTGATTTAATTAAAGCTATATAATAACGTATAGTGAAATTATTTCCTTGTGTGAGACCTAAAAACAGAAACCAAATTCAAACTTTAACATTTGTATTTAGATACCCATGTGACCTATGTGGCCCGTGGGCCTCTTGTTATCATACCTAATATGTTCAAAATCTTTAGTAAATATATTTTCGGTATTTAATAATTATATAATTTTTAAAATATTCATTCATTTTTATGTCCCGCCATGCATATGGCCGGGGCATATAGTGTTTGTCATGTCCGTCTTCTTTCCTACCGTCCTTCCTTCTGTCATAGTTCCCCCATGGGGATCCGGGTTAGAATAGGTCCTCAGTACCCCTTGCTTGTTGTAAAAGACGACTAAATGGGGCGGTTTTTCGGATGAGACCGTATAAACCGAGGCCCCGTGTCACAGCAGGTGTGGCACGATAAAGATCCCTCCCTGCTCAAAGGCCGTAAGTGCTGAGCATAGGCCTAAATTTGCAGCCCTTCACCGGCAATGGTGACGTCTCCATATCAGTGAAATATTCTGGAGAGGGACGTTAAACAGTATATAATCAATCAATCAATCTGTCATAGTTAGCGTTAAGCTCAGTCTAAAGCTCAGATTAAAAGAAACCATCCAAGGTACTTTTATCAAACTTCATATGCTAATATATACTGATGTAAGCAACTGCATCAACATTTTTTACATTGACCTTTCATTTGACCTTGGCCTTACTTTTATCAATTTGTCTTTAAGTCAATTTTATAAAAACATGCATATCATTTTCTCTACTTCATACGCTGATACATACTGATGAGAGCTTTTTAACTGCATCAACTTTTTTTTTACTTTGAATCTTCCTTTGACTTTAACTTCATTTATTTTCAATTAGTGTTTAGTTCAGTTAGAAAAAATAATTCAAAAGATTTTTATCAAATATGCTGATACGTATTTGTAAGAAATATTATTCAACTACACCAAAATGATTGACCTGGAACTTTCTTATGACTTTGACCTCACTGTTCTTAAATTTGCATTTTGCTTAGTTTTAAAGAAACCATTTAAGATGTATTTATGTGTACGAGGAGCTATCAAGAAGTTCGTGGACCAGTGCCAGAAAATTAAAACCGCTTTAGATACATCAAGGAATTTTAAAGTATTTATTTATCATCATCTTTTCTATCTAATGAATAAACAAAAAAAATCATAAATTTTATTTTTAAATGAATTATTAAAGTTTTGGTAAGCAATGGTATGTCCAGGTGGCGCAACCTCGAAAACGACGGGTTTTTTTTCGAACTAAGATAAACTATTTTATATGAAAATTTGTCATCCAAAAATCCCGTTAATTTAGGTATGCGTTCGGACGCCATTGTACCATAAAATATATATGGAATTTTTAACTCATTCTGGACGTTTTATGAAATTTTGTTGTAAATTTTACATCGAGTAATGAAACAAATGTTGCCTTGAAATAACGTGAAAGGGGGAAGGGGTTTATTTTTCAACATCCTGTAAAGTTTTGCACTTGGAAAAAACTGGTATACACATAGGAAATGCTTAAACTGGCTACGGACAAATATTATTCATTAATATAACTCGTTTTTAATGCCAAAATAGATCCAGGGAGAAAAGGGATGCAAACTTTATGTCGTCAAGGTTTGAGAATTCTATCACCTCAAATAATGACTTTGATCATGTGTTCTAGTTATAGTGAACTAAAAAAATATGCTGGCACAATCATTCGAGGATCTTTCCCAATGTATAAATCCATTTGCAATAATTTATGCATTGAAAGCTTGTGTTCATGACGTTGTAAAGTCATAAAAACAAGCCAGATTGAAATCCTTACTCGAGCTCAGCTCTGGAGAATCGCATCAAATAAGTGTACGAGGTGATAGAAGCGGGCATTGAAAAATAATGACGTTATCAGACGTCATAAAACAAAGTGGCGACGGCGCCGAGTGATTATATCAGGTCGTTTTTATTTTATAATTATTTGGGAAATAATGAACGTACTAAGTTAAATTTTCAAAATTTCTTTATTTTTTGCTATTTCATGTTCCTTTTAAATTTTGTAAGCTCAGACAACGTAGTACTAATTTTATAGCCTCAGTCCACGAACTTTTTGATATCTTACAGCTGTTCATTCCTGGAGTTCGTTTGAGTCTACCATTTTTAGTCTCAAGTCATCTATATATTGATGTCATTTTCACATTGTGACGTCATAAACAAGGAGGATAACATTATTCAGCATATGCCATTTAAAGAAATTGTGTTTGGCTATATGTGTACCATATTGAATTGTAGTCTGGATTGTGGAAATATCATTTTAAGATATTTAAATAAATTTTCTCAAGAAAAATAAAGCAAAGCCATGAATTGTCATATTTAATTTAGAAGTAAGTATTTTCAGTTAATAAAAATTCAAATTTGTTGAATCCATAACACCACGAGGAGAGTGGGGCCACATTGAATGATCAAATTTTACATATTAGGAAAACAATCTTTTAAAATTCTCAAGAAGAACATAACCATAAATGGCCATATTTATTATGAAAACATCCTCAGGTAGTGTTGATTCAAGTTTGTTCAATTCAAGACCTCCAGGGGTAGGGTAGATTAATTGAAAGTAAGAATTTTTGGCCAACTGAGTCACTCAACCATCTTTTTCTAAACATTAGAACATTTGCAGGCAATTTAAGCTTCTCTGAAATCGATGAACAATTTGGGTATATAGCATCTATGTGAGAAATTGTAAATTTCATCCCCCTTCCCCTGGGTCTCTATACCTATGAACAACAAGCAGTAAAAGTGTTGGCATAATTCTAATGTTTGGATATTTATTTAACAATCTATGTAGATTGTGCAGATGCATTAAGGAGATAGGCATTTGTTTAAAAAAAATTCATTATTTATATACTGACACGTGAACAAATTAAGATACACCGACTGAAAAGATTTTTTAAAGATGATTCAAATACTTTTTTTTTACTGTTAACCAAGTTTTATAAAATACGATTTCCTTATTAAAATCAGTTTTTATCAGAACGACTGGCATTGTTCTACTGTGATTTTCAAGCATTTGTTGGAAACGAAATGGCGCTAAGATGTGATAACAGAGAAGTAGTTTAATTTTTCATAAAACAACGCCGACGTCTGAATCTTATACCTTAAGCTAATTGGAATACGTGCCCTCTTGAAACAATTCGATAATGAAATTTACCATGACTAATCAAGAGTGTTTCGGAGGTGTCTTGGCGTCTCCATGTGAGTGAATAAATTTTCGAAAGAGACATTAAACAACAAACAAACAAATCTGTCTGTTAAGGTAGGTAATATATGGTAAGACCCGCCTCATGAGCAGACGAGGGACCGACCGAGTGAACACATCATTCAATTTCATTTCATTTTATTTTATTTGAGTTTTGATCTAATAACAAGTTATTCTATGTTCCTACGTTTACAAAATGCCATTCTGGAACCATAGGAGTTATTATAAATACCACGGTATGTCTGCATATTCATCCTGATAAATATAATTCAGATGTCCTTTCTTATTCCCTTATTTATGGATTAAATTTCGTGACTATGACGGTAGCCTAGTGGTAGAGCGTTCGCTTCGTGATCGGGATGCCCGGGTTCGATTCTCGATCGCGGCGCCGCGTCATACCTAAGACGTAACTCACAGTAGGCGCTGGCACGATAAAGAACTTCACTGCTCAATGGCCCTGAGTGCCGAGTATAGGTCAAAATTTGAAGCCCCTCACCGGCATACGTAGACGTCTCCATATGAGTGAAATATTCACAAGAGACACGTTAAACAATATACAATCAATCAATCAATCATGACTATGACATTATATTTAGCCTTTTTATCATCGTAGATTCGTTTTGGTTCAATTAAATATTGTTTACATACTCTTTCCAAATAGTTTTGAAAACATGCTTCAGCTTCCGGAGACGTCCAGTGTATTCTTCTTTAATAAGACTCTTGAAGATTGGTTGTTCATCTGCTTTTAATCCCTTCGAGATTTGTTGGGACGATATTTGGACATTTCCCCATCGTCCAAATTTATAATTAGACATATACTAGGCATTTTTTTCCCATTTAGCAGTGGGGGATCTTTTTTGAGCCAGCTCTTCTGCGACACTGGACAGTTTTTATTTCTATGTGGATCTGATGAAGAGAGAAGCACTTGATAATGATTCTTTGACTTTAGGAGGTAAACTTTTGAATACTACATTCCTGCATTTGTACACAAAAAATGGGGTGATGTCGTGGGAGTCAATTATTAGTGCGAAGTATAAGACAAAATTTGTAGCTCTCCTTCGGCAAGTGGTGAAGTCTCCAAATGAGTGGAAAATTCTCAAGAGGGACGTTAAACAACATACAATCAATCAACTGAGTAGTAGCATAGAAGGCTAGGGCTTCTAAAGACCAACAATCGTTCAGTCACTAATCATAAATACCCTGATATAAGAATATCATGTTTTCTCATTATAATCTACCTTTTGTAGACTAATCTTTGTTGTATGTATACACATTTATTTTCATCTGATTCAGTAAGACGATTTACTTTCACTAATAATATAATGTTTAGTCAAAAATAAATAATTATAAAGTAGAATACTTTTTATACAAGTAATTTAAACAGAATAAATGTATGGAAGAAAACTGTATTTACCAAGTGTAAAGACCCTGTTGATTGCATTAACTTTTACATGCTCACATAATCATTGTCTGTTTTTCTTTTTTCCATTTTGTATCTCAGTTACTAAAACTTCTAATGTCAATGAACTATTCAAATTTGATTTTCATCACTTTACCACCATCCCACTCAGCCACAAAGAGGTTATCTCTAGTGTCTACACATAAACCCCATGAACCCTGTAGATCACAGTTATCAATGTAACGAAGGAACTGACCATCCTGATCTAGGATGTGGATACAATTGCAACTAAAGTCTGATGTCAGGATCTGACCCTGGCTGTCTGTTGTGATGCCGCGTGGGTAAAATGAAACCCTATTAGTAGAGACATGACCAGTATATCTAAATCTGAGTTTCCCTGCTTGATTAACAACAACTACTGCATGGTTTCCTTTATCTGCAACACATATATCAAGGTTCCTGTTTTCACTGATGTATTTAAAAATATTAGATGAATACAGAGGTGTACCTTCACTATCAAACTGCACTGTTTGTTTTTCTGTGTAGCCAGAGTAGCGGACAACTTTTGTTTGTTTATCATCATCACTGAGCATGGTAACGAGGAGGTCACCAGAGGAGGTACAACAGATGTAGCAAGGTCTCCACCCCTGTAGTCTGATCACTTCCTGTATCTGGTCATTCTTCACTATGTTTACAGTTCTTGTACTAGGGTCAGTATAAACTAGATCTCCACTCAATGTCACTGCTATGTCACGTGGCATGTTCCTTGACTTGGTTTTGATTGACCTCAACAGTTTGCCCTGGAGGTTGTAGAGTTTCATGATATAGTCATCTCCACGTGTCCAGATTTCTTTATCACTAAGACAGCAAACACTGGATATATATTTATACCCAGTGTCTATGGTGATGATGAGCTCCGGTTCATCAAGCAGTGGTTTCACTTGAGAGGAGGGTATATCTTCTGATGTCTTCATTTTGTAGCCATGTTCTTCAGTTGTAAGTGATAATGCTGACAGAGAACCAAATATTTGGTTCAGCTGTTCTGTGTTGATATGATGAGGAGAAAAACTTGGTAATGATGCATGAACTTTAGAAGGTAAAATTCTGAATTCAGCATTCCTGGGTTTGTATGCACAGGTTAGGGAGACATCATTGGAGTCCAGTATTTTTTTCATATCAAGTATGCACTGGTTTACTTCAGAAGTAATATGTTTGATTTCTTTTTCCTGTTTATTTAGAGCAGCCAGGTGTTTACTTTTCATCTCATCAATTTCATATTTCTGTTTGTTTACTATGATGTTAATTTCTCTGTGCCAGTCTTCGCCTTGTTTGGTGACAGCTGTTGTCAGTTTCTCATAATGTTTTACCAAATTTTCTTTTTCAGAGTTTATATCTAAAGTAATTTTTTCATATGTAGGATAAATTCTTTCTTGGAGTTCTTCCAAATCTTTTTCTAATTTTTTTTGTGTAAAATTTAGTTTTAGTACAGCATCAGATAAATCATGTCCTTTATGTTTACCAGAGGAGATGCAGGTAGAACAGACAGGAATGTCACATTTCTCACAGTATAGTTCACAATGTTTCTGGGTGTGGTTTGGACATTTTGGGTAGCCAGGAGAAGTTCTGTGTTTGTATGGTACAACATTGTGTCTTTTGGATGAATCAGAGAGATGTTTTCCAACACAGACTATACAGAGATTTACATGACAAAGTTCACAGTGACTCTGTAATGCAGCTGTTTGACACAGGTCACAGAGGAGGATGTCTTGGGCACTGTATCGGGGGTCCATTACTGTTTCCTTCTCACATGACCAAGTAAAGGTGATGATTTAAAATGTGGCGAATAAGGCTTATGCTTGGATATTTATTTTTATGCTTTGTGTACACGAAAATGAAAATGTTGATTAAGTGGTAAAAGTTAAAAACTTTGTGACATGGAAAAATGTGTAATGATTATGGTAATGGGAGCTTGGTATTAAAAATTTTTTTTCAAGGATAAAAAGCATTTTTGGAAAGTATACTTGACAATGTAAAGAATATTAAACAAGGAGGATCATGAATAAATTTTGTGAAAGATGGGCTGGTTTAAGTAAAGGACATTCTATCTTACCTAGGTTTGTGTTTATACAGACAAAAGATATTTTTGGTCATCATGGTAATTAAAATATTCTCAAGAATATCATTCTTAAGATCAGGATTTAAAATTTGTTTATTGACATTATGATTATACATTTCATTCAATTAGATTTTACCATGGTAAGGTTTTAGAATTAGATAGATTTGTGACCTCAATTGGGACCTTAAGATCCCATGATACCATCACTGTCAAATGCATTATTATATTGTTTCTTTTTCTAAAGGATTTCAGACTTGACTAAAAATTTTTTTTTAATCCAGGTAGAGGATAATTTGCACAAAGAGGTGTTTATATAAAAAATGAAATGATTTCTTACCTATGAATTAAACATGGCTCCCTATCTGATGATAGACTTCCTGGTGTTGGCCTGTTGCTAGGTCCCGTGATTTAAATACCTGTTATTGCTAGGTCATGTGATTTAAATACCTGCCAATATATATAGACCTATCAATAGACTGGTTATGCCTGTATTTATCCTGTGAAAGAGTTTATCATGTATATTAAACAGACGAGACCAGTTTAACCTTTCTTTTTAAGTAATTTTTAATTTGCATTAGTGGTGTCAATAAAAAAAATCATAGATAGATTCATATGTAGACAAGAAATTTTAAAAATATAATTATTATTTTTTAGTTTTAAAATTATTTAATCAAACATGAAAAACGTTATTCATACAAAATAGAGAATGTTTTGCTTTTGTATTAAGAAGGGGGGAGGGGTTGCGATTAGCGAGGTCTAAAAGCCCTTTCACAATTGGCGCACAAGCACTTTACAACACTTTGCGATCGAAAATTTTTTAGCTTCGGACGAAATCTAGCATACTTTGCACGATGCCTTCGGCATCGGGTGGCATAACACTCCAGGGCTTTCCTGTCACCTCGGGGCAAATATTCTGGTATGTCACCCTCGAAGCCATGTGATATATGTATATTGTCTTATGAAAGATTTTTTTTTAACAAAAGTGAGTAAAAGGTAGCATTCAAGAAAAGGGGAAAGACATTTGGCAATATTTTATACATATTTTGACCATTTCTTTTACCATTGTTCCTCCTATTGTAGCCTATGACTGCCCGATCAATCGTCACGTTTACACATACGCTTCTTTGACCAGTGGGGCATCACTCAGGGCCGCTGAATGTCTGCTGGAGGGGCTGAGTCAAGTGGCAGTCAACTGGTGTGGGGGATGGCACCATGCTAAGAGGTAAAATACACTCCAGGAAGGAGCTGTTTTATGTAGTGTTTTTGTGTGCATTTAAAAGTGGGAAATTGATAAGTCATATTATTTGTTTGTTGTTTTATGTCCCTGTCGAGAATTTTTATGTAAACATGGAGAGGTTACACTCTGGAGATGATGTATGAAAGGTTTGTCCACTGCTCGGCACACAGAGCTATTGAACAGTGTTCATGTGTCTAGGATCTTAGCTTTGGTTGCAAAACCAAAAAAGTTAATGGGTTAGAATTTCTACATTAGGTTTATACTGTTAGGGTCTTTGAAGCTCCGAAATAATTTTGATTTTTTGTAAAACCTGAGAATTGTGCCTAAAACTTATTTCAGGAAGACAATTTAATGGAAACAATGCTGCAAAAGACAATTATTGAATATTATTATACCTCTATTGATAATACAGTAAAACACGGTTATAGCGAAGTCCTAGGGACCTGTGAATTTAATTCGCTATATCCGTAATTCGTTATATCCGGATAACGAATTCGTATAACCATTTTAGCGAATTTGCAATATGCATGTTTTTCTTCAAGTATTACTACCAACCTTACTATGTAAAGTGAAAGAAATATTACAAAAGATATCTTCAATAACTTAGGTTTTCTTATAAATCGAATTTTATGTAAAAATGCTTAAAGGAAATAAAGTAAGTTCAATTCATCATTTGTGTTCAAATTATCATTTTTTTTATAATCTTTGAAAGTTCGTTATAAAAGATGTAAATTTCATTATATTGAACCTCAACGGGACTCAAAATCAGTTCGCTATATCCGTAAATTTGTTATATCAGAGTTCGTTATAACCGTAAAATTTTACAAAGATTTGTTAAGAATATTGTCGGGGAACCAGAAAAACTTCGCTATATCCGTGAATTCGCTATATCCATGTTCGTACTAAACGAGTTTTACTGTACTCGAATTTGATTGGCTGGTAAGAAAACTTTCAAACACAACAATGACCCCAAATGATACAGTTTAAAGCAGGAATCATTGCACGTGGGATAAAATGACCCGGTCGTTATTTTTAATGACCGCTAAAAATGACCGCTTAATCAAAAATTCATTTTTGAGTGAAGTAAATGCATAAGATAATAATTATTCGAAAAAAAACATGTTTTTAAAATTGTGCATGGTCTGTTTTGCATTACCATACAGAATACGGTAAAATTTTATGGTTTCAATATTTCGTTACAATATTCAGTTTATGGAATGTAGAGGCGGCTCTTTAAAGAGTTGAGTTCTGTGTTACATTTTGACTGTGTAGAGGAAAAGTAATCGTTAGTTATAACAATGTATGTCGCTATGAACCAAATATTGTTTTAATCAGTAAATCATGATGCAAAAACTTACACGACTTGCAGACGTCAATGTAAACAACTTCACTATCCGGTCTGTACCGAATCCCGATCCCGATCAAAGAAAGAATTGATAACGGTTAGAGATTCATACTTTTCAATATATATCGGTATAATAAAACAATTAATTACCCCTTGTGAGTTCAACATGGTGAAATAAGGACCCTCGACCTGGCCCACTCGACGACCTGTCCTGACCTCGACTGCTACGCGGCCTCGGTCAGGTCAGGTCACCTCGTTGGCCAGGTCTCAGGTCCTTATTTCACCATGTTGACCTCACAAGGGGTAATTAATTGTATATTGATCCTTTAGGCAGTTTTTCTGTGCCTTGTTAATTCCTTTGTTGTGACATGAAATTTGTATAAACCCTATATGGATAGCTGGATTAAAGAGGAATTTTTAATTTTTTTCAGACACACAGCATCAGGATTTTGCTATGTCAATGACATTGTTCTTGCCATCTTAAAATTGAGAGAGAAGTTTGACAGAGTTCTATACATTGACCTAGATGTACATCATGGAGATGGTTAGTGTATTACTCACTTATTCTGATTCTCTCTGAATTTTCATAGGCTACATGTAGAAAGGAACATGTTGGGGAAAAGATCAGAATGTTATTTTTATGCCCTGCCATGAATATGGCCGGGGCATATAGTGTTTGTCATGTCCGTCTTCTGTCAATCCGTCCTTCTGTCCTTCCATCTTTCCGTCACACTTTGCGTTTAGCTCTGTTCAAAGCTAAGTTTCAAAGAAACTATCTAAGATATTTTCATCAAACTTCATATGCTGATAGATATTGATGAGAGCTATGCAACTGCATCAACATTTTTTGACCCTGAACTTTCCTTTGACCTTGACCTCACTTTTCTTAAATTAATGTTTAGCTCAGATTTGAACATACCATTCAAGATGGCGTTATCAAACTTCCCATGTTGATACAAACTTGTACGGATGATGCATCTAGGGATCAACACTACTAGACTTGCTTTGGATGCTGGATCTGACCTACATTATCCAGATAAGTGACCAGGTTAAAGTTTTTGGAGCAGGTCCATTTCCAAGGAACTATAAGCCCTACCCAATCCAAACTTTAAAGGACGATGCATCTAGGAATGAACACTACCAGACTTGCTTCGGATGATGGAACTGACCTACATTTTCATTCCCAAGTAACTATAAGCCCTGCCTGAACCAAACTTGCATGGATGATGCATCTGGGGATGGACAGTACCAGACATGCTTTGGATGCTGGATCTGACCTATATTTTCATTCCCTAATAACTATAAGCCCTGCCTGATCCAAACTTGCATAGTTGATGCATCTAGGCATGGACACTACCAGACTTGCTTCGGATGCTAGATCTGACCTATATTTTCATTCCCAAGTAACTATAAGCCCTACCTGAACCAAACTTGCATGGATGATGCTTCTAGGGATGGACACTACTAGACTTACTTTGGATGCTGGATCTGACCAGTATTTTCAGTCCCAAGTAACTATAAGCCCTGCCTTAACCAAACTTGCATTGATGATGCATCTAGGGATGGATACTACCAGACTTGCTTTCGGATGCTGGATCTGACCTAAATTTTCATTCCCTAATAGCTATAAGCTCTGCCTGAACCAAACTTGCATGGTTGATGCATCTAGGCATGGACACTACCAGACTTGCTTCAGTTGCTGGATCTATTAGCCCTGCCTAAACCAAACTTGCATGGATGATGCATCTAGGGATGGACACTACCAGACATGCTTCAGATGATGGATCTGACCTATATTTTCATTCCCTAATAACTATAAGCCCTGCCTGATCCAAACTTGTATGGTTGATGCATCTAGGCATGGACACTACCAGACTTTCTTCAGTTACTGGATCTATTAGCCCTGCCTGAACCAAACTTGCATGGATGATGCATCTAGGGATGGACACTACCAGACATGCTTCAGATGATGGATCTGACCTATATTTTCATTCCCTAATAACTATAAGCCCTGCCTGATCCAAACTTGTATGGTTGATGCATCTAGGCATGGACACTACCAGACTTTCTTCAGTTACTGGATCTATTAGCCCTGCCTGATCCAAACTTGCATGGATGATGCATCTAGGAATGGACACTACCAGACTTATTTCGGATGCTGGATCTGACCTAAAGAAGATGGGAGCATTTGGCGAGTGATCTGCAGGAATCATTTGTACGAAACATTTATGATTTAAATGTCCATGATTTGGTTGGCTGAACATAGCTGGTCAGGTTTACTAACACGTCCATAGGTTTTTTTTCATTTAGTTTGAAAGACCTTGTGAAATTTTAACATTTATGTCCGTTTTTCCTAGGGGGTACTATAACTTAGTAAATGTAATGTTACACAAAAAAATAAACACCTAAAATATTTAATGCATAGATGTATGATACGTGTACATGTACATAATAATATATAGAATAGTCAAAGGTCAAATTTGGTGGTACCCAAAGAAAAGTCTTGCCACAAGGAATACACATGTGAAATATGAAAGTCATAGCTCCACTAAATCAAAATTAATGGGCAACGTTCAAGTTTTTGCAGACAGACAGACGAACGAACATGACAAATACTATATAGCCCCGAAACTTCGTTTAAGGGGGCATAATCAGTACGTGTTCATACATTGTTGATTGCGTTAATTTTTACATGCTCATGTAATCAATGTCTTGTTTTTGTTTCCATTTTTAATGAATGAAGTATTTACATATATCTAATTTTCTTCAATTTACCACCGTTACAGTCAGCCACAAAGAGGTTGTCTCTGGTGTCTACACATATACCCCATGGATGCTGTAGACCACAGTTATCAATGTAACGGAGGCATTGTCCGTCCTGATCTATTATATGGATAAAGTGGTTGATACAGTCTGCTGTCAGGATCTGACTCTGGCTGTCTGTTGTGATGCCGAGTGGACAGAATGATCTCTCGATAGTAGGTGGATGGCCGGTGTATCTAAATCGAAGATTTCCTGCTTTATTCACCACCACTAATGTACCTGCCACACAGTCAGCCACACAGATATCCCGGTTCCTATTCTCATGGATGTATTTATAGTAACCAGATGAAAACAGAGGTTTACCTTCACTATCAAACTGAATGGTTTGTTTTTCTTTGGAACCAGAGTAACGGACAACTTTTGATTGTTTTCCATCTTCACTAAGCATGGTAACCAGGAGATCATCAGAGGAGGTACTACAGACATAGAGAGGTCTCCACCCCTGTAGTCTGATCAATTCCTGAATCTGGTCACTCTTCATTATGTTTACAGTTCTTGTATCAGGGTCAGTATAAACTAGGCCTCCACTCCTTGTCACTGCTATGTCACGTGGTATTCTTCTTGACTTGGTTTGAATTGACTTCAGTAGTTCATCCTGAAGGTTGTAGAGTTTCATGATGTTGTCTAATCCACATGTCCAGATTTCTTCATCAATGAGACAGGTAACACTGTGTAGATATTTATACCCAGTGTCTATGGTGGTGATGAGCTTTGGTTCATCAAGCAGTGGTTTGACTGGAAAACAGGATAAAGCTTCTGGAGTCTTCATTGTGTAGCCATGTTCTTCTGTTGTAATGGATAATGCTGAAAGTGAACCGAACATTTGATGGAGCTGTGCCGTGGTGATCTGATGAGGAGAGAAACTTGGTAATGAAACGTTGATTTTAGGGGGTAAACTTCTGAATTCAGAATTCCTGGATTTGTACGCAACGGTTAGGGTGATATCAATAGAGTCCAGTATTTTCTTCAGATCAAGAATGCTCTGGTTTACATCAGAAATAATTTGTTTGATTTCATTTTCCTGTTTATCTAGAATAGCCAGGTGTTTAGTTTTCATCTCATCTATTTCAGATTTCTTTTTGTTAACAATGACATCAATTTTCCGGTGCCAGTCCTCTCCTTGTTTGGTGACAGCTGTTGTCAGTTTCCCATAATGTTTTTCAAAGTCTAGTTTTTCAGAGTTTAGATCTAATGAAATTTCTTCGTATGTAGGATAGATTCTTTGCTCTAATTCTTGTAAGTCATTTTTTAAATCTTTAGTTTTCTGTAGAATATCGGTAATTGTATGTCCTTTATGTTTACCAGACGAGATACAGGTAGAGCAGACAGGAACGTCACATTTCTCACAGTAAAGTTCACAATGTTTCTGTGTATGGTTTTGACATTTTGGATAGTTCACGTTAGGAGTAGATTTTCTGTGTTTATATGGTACAACTTTGTGTCTTTTAGATGAATCAGAGAGATGTTTTCCAACACAGACTATACAGAGGTTTACATGACAAAATTCACAATGATTCTGTAATGCATCTCTTTGACACAGGTCACAGAGGATGGTGTCTTGGGCATAGTAACGGGGGTCCATTATAGTCTTCTTCTCACATTCAAGTATACGTGATACTGTAAAAAAATTTAACTTGTAAAGTTCAATTATTCATTTTTGGGATTTTATATGTTCTGTGCAAGCTGATATGAAATAATTAATAGGTAGGTAGACAGTATATAAAGATCATGTGATAAGAAAATATGTGTAATGGTAATAGTAAATAGTTGCTAAACATGTACGAAATGTCTTCAAGGATGAAAATTATTTATATTACATGTAATTATTAAATTAAAAAAGGGGAATAAGCTAGTCTCAGAATCTGTTTTTGTTGTCATTGATTCTCAAAGGGTATGCTTTTATAGGATCAGAGTTTTAGATTTGTAAATTCACAAGATGGCTATATCTGTGATTGAAAGAAATTTTCTATAAGCAATGTTAAGGGTGAAGTATTATATTTTTATACATGTATGTGTGAGTAAGTCACCCGCATATGTATAAATGTATTCCGGAATTATTGCATCTTTTCTTAGTAGTTTTTGGTTTTGTTTTTATTTTGAAAACCGGAAAGCGGGAAAACAACAAAGCCCAGTATTCACATCAGTGGATCATTAAAGCCATATACATGATATATGGCGTTACTGATCAAAAAATATATTTTTGAAAAATACGAAATTAAGTAAAGAAATTTATTTAATACATATAAATTAAAGCTTTTCATATTCTGAACACGGAGAACACCTCGTTTCATCTAATAATACAATTTTATCTTCTCTGTAATGTGTTATTTAAGTCTTTTGCATTTTCTTCCGAGTCGGAAAAAATTCCGAGAATCCAAATTAAATTGTGATATCTTTATAATGCAATTGACTTAGATTTTGTAATTTACGGAAAAGTTCTATCTTTATATAAAGTAATGATACAAATGATAAGTTCTCATAATTTTAGTCTAATAATTTTCCTTGTACATACGCCATATATGGCTTTAAGAAATCCTTACAGTTTTGCATAATATTCTTGTAGGTTTGTAGAATTGTTTATCTCGATAAGTATGTTATATGCATGTTGTTGTTTACCTATTTCTGTATCATTCTACATGTTTGACCTATTTTTGGGTACCTTTATCTTCGAGGTGTATATAAATGCACCATTGTTCACAATTTATATTAACATTTAGAATATTTTGTACACGTGCACGGCAGAAATGCATTTTTTTTTTAAACTTGTGGTTAAAATCTTCTTAAAACCAGTCACAGCTGGGGAGAACATGTTCATTAATCATATTTATAAAAGAAATTGAAATGAAATGGCCTAATTTTAGAGAAATTATTTTTATTAAATTTTGTCCTATGCCGATCAAAATTAACCGATCCCAACCATAATTGTACAGTTATTGGAAATAAATAATACATTGTATATTCCCAAGAACACTAATCTGATTAGGTGTAATAAGGGTTAACACATTATTGAACTTGACAATAAAATAGATTTCTTCATTGTAAATACATGAAGAGGCAATAAATTAGCATTTTATTCATTTTGTGTGAATTTTGATCGGGATCAGTTAAATTTTGATCGGGTTAGGTGCAAATATTAAAAAAAAATTTAATTTTCTCTAAAATTTCTCAATTTCGATTCAATTTCT